CGACGCGAGTCTACTGGAAATCGAGAGACCGAAATTTCCGCGGCAGTCACGAATTTTCACGGGCAGCCATCCAAACTCGATCTATCGCGATGGTCCACGCGCTTCCTGCCTTCCAATATCAAGGCTGCAGGCGGATGACGGCGCTTTTCGATCGAGGGAGTTTACGATTTTCGCTCCTAAATATGGCTAAATTTAGATAGACTCGATATATCGATATCGTTATGCATTTATTTAGTAAGACAAGATCGGACGAAATTTTCTTTGTTTTTGTTACAGGCAGAAAGATTAATTTTTGGAAATTCTTTCAAACAAGATTACAAGATCAAAATCGAATAATATGTATGTATATGAAAAATACACACACACAGAGTGTCTCATTTTAATTCATCCTCGCAGTTATTCATCATTCGATGAAACGTTTGAAATAAAGCTTGTCCTGTAAAGGTTGCCAAATTTGTTTCATTTCCGAGATTTTCATCCCTTTTCAACTCGAAACTGATGACAGAGAAAGAAGTATAGAAATTTTGCAAAGAAATGATAATTACAAAATTCGAAAAGGAGCACGTCCAACAAATGAAGAAAGAACAAATTAATGTAACTCCGCTGTATTTAAATAGAATTATATACTTTTTCGTGCATCGATCGACGCTGCTGTCTGTATATAATGTACGTATACAAAACATATAGTGATACCAATTGATACAGAAAGAAGAAGAATATCTACGAGTATTGAAATCCCGTTTTACGAAGCACAATATGCCTCTTCGATTTTACAAGCATCGGCGAGAGGGTTAAACGACAAGTACAACAATATTCGTATTGAAAGCAGCTACGAATCAATATTATCAGCAATAAGTTCGCCGGACGAGCAATTGCAAAACTCTTGCTACTCGATATCGCGCCGAGAGCCGTAAAAACAAAGCACTCGCATTGTTCGAACTTTGGCAAGCTGACACGGTGTTGCGAAACTGATCGACGAATGGTTAATTGCCAGAAGTGAAAGGTTCGTTTTATTGTCGTGTATGCCGATAGTTCGTGCATTTCCGAGCGGGGAAATTGCGGGTGTTTCACTCGCGTCGAGCGAAAGACGCGAGGCTCAAAGGTTGAAAAGTTGAAACAACGTTGAGAGAGAGAGAGAGAGAGAGAGTAGAGAGTGGTGGTAATGCATGTTAATGAATGCTGTTATTTCAGTTCTCGTAATTTGAAAAAGCAACAGTAACGCGGGGAAGAGGGATGTAAAAACTTGAAGAGCAACGTGGTTTTTCGTGAAAGTTCGGACGGAGAATTGAGAGTGATTTCCACCGGGCAGACGAATGATGATCTCCGAAAGAAACGTAATAGATTTTCACGGATGTTTTTTCAACGAAAGAGAAACGTTCCAGAACCGTAACAGAATCAACATTTTATTACAAACTGCTTGGCTGAACTTCTTCTTACAATTAGTATTCTCTGATGAACACTATTTATACATTTGTATATCCCAGATCCCGTGAGAATTAAATTGAATTATTTTCAGTGATTAATAATTAAACAAGGAAATGAATTTATTGGCCAGCAATAATCGTCTGATGGATCCCTTTATTATCGATGAAAAGAAAAAGAAAAAAACATTGTGATGTATATTCTAATATTTTGTTTTAATTCTATTATTCTAATCATTAAATTTAAATTATTCTAATATTTTGCTATGAATACGTTCTGTGAGCATAATTGGACGGAAAATGTCACTTAAGGTTTTATCGAAAATTCAATCTCTCGTCAATTTGTAATTAACAAGAGTGATGAATATTTTCAAATGAAGGAATTTATTATCGAAAGTTTTGACGAAAGTTTTTCGCAACAACATTCGCAAAGTTATAGGTAATAAAAAATTTACATTTAATGTAGTTGCTTAAATATTTCTTAATTTTCGTTACGAATTTCCTAACAATCTAATATATACATTAAATTGTTAAGAAATATTTAAGCAACTACATTAAATGTAAATTT